GCCACGGGGGTGCTGAGCACAGCCAGGTTGGGCTATGGGGCTGGCACAGCTCCTGGGGTGCTTAGCACAGCCTGGTTGGGCTCTGGGGCTGGCACAGCCACAGGGATGGCTCAGCACAGCCTGGTTGGGCTCTGGGGCTGGCACAGCCACGGGGGTGCTCAGCACAGCCAGGCTGGGCTCTGGGGTTGGCACTGCCACAGGGATGGTTCAGCACAGCCAGGTTGGGCTCTGGGGCTGGCACAGCCACAGGGATGGCTCAGCACAGCCAGGCTGGGCTCTGGGGCTGGCACAGCCACAGGGATGGCTCAGCACAGCCAGGCTGGGCTCTGGGGCTGGCACAGCCACAGGGGTGCTCAGCACAGCCCGCTGGTCTGTGGTGTGTGTGCTGTGGGGTCTGGCACCCACCTGTTGATGGTTGACTTGTGCAGCAGGACGGTGCCAGCCTTTGTCCGGTACGCGTAGCTGTTGGGTTTGAACTTCCCCTGGCGGGTCACTTTGCCTTGTCTCACCTGGAATGGGAGGAGAATCTCAAAGGCCTGCACAACCAGCAGGCCCTGCCCACCCACAACCAGCTCTCCTCTGTGTGGGGAGGGGTGAGGATGTTCCTCTACTCCCAGAAGCTCTGCTGGGGTAGCAGAGCACACTCATGGGGTGACCAAACTGGGCAGTCTCCCAACCCTGTGCAAGGGGCAGCAAACAGGAGAAAGATGCCACCTCGGGCAGCAGGCAGGAGGAGCCACCTCAACAACTCCCAGACCAAGTAACAAGAACCCAAGCGTGGATCTGTGCAGGCCAGGGTGGCCATTCCTCATGAGTGAGGATCCAGGGATAGCCCTGGACAAGCTGGCAGAAGCACAGGCAGGAGCACAGAGCAGGAAGCCTGGCTTGGGGACACACTCCCAAGAGAGCACAGGCATCTCTGGCACCTCAGTGCTTCCCTATGCCACCCACTGTGACCAGCAAGCCCAGGAGGGTGATGGCAGAGCCAGTACCTGGATGAGGTTGGGGTAGAGCCCAGCCATGAGGACTCCCTTGACCAGTTCCTCCTCTTCACTGTACTGGTTACACACAGATGATGGCATGGTACAGTCAGACGGGGATGACACCAGGAAGGCTTCATAGAGGTTCTCAGAGAACTGCTTGACAAGGCCTGGAGGAGGTAGACAGCCCCAGGGATGAGATTCATCCTCTCCCTTCATCCCTCGGAGTGATTACCCTCAGCAGGACGGACAGGAGCTCCATCCTGTGCCAAAGCCAGGTCCTGCCCAGTCCAGCCCGTTCCTGCCCTCCACCCCTCAGGGTGCCCTTCTGGGGGCCAGGGAGCAGCAGGCCCGAGACTCACCGTTGATGAAGCGCAGGCTGGGCCCGTACAGGTAGTAGTCCTGCAGGTAGTTGTCCCTGGCACGGCTGTCCCTGCGCCTCAGCACCTCCTCCCAGCCCGCCACGGCCCTCACGAAGGCCAGGTGGTCACTGCCGCTCTCCCGGCTCAGCACGGCCTTGGCCTGGGACAGGGACACACGTGTCACACACGTGGCACACACATAGCACACACGTGGGCCATGGTAGCCCCCTGCCCCTGCTCCCCCCGCCCCAGAGGGCCCCTCACCTTGTCCACCTCGGCGCGGTTCTGCAGGCTGCTGCTGAAGGGGTCCCGCGTGAGGCAGGACACGATGACGAGCAGGGGGTGCAGGCAGCGGTAGATGGAGGCCAGGACGATGGCCTTGGCCAGCCGAGGGTCTGTGGAGATCTGGGCCAGCCGCTTGCCCAGGGTGGTGAGGGCCTCCCGCTGGTCCAGCACTCCTGCAACAGAGCCCCCGGTGTGGGAACAGACATCAGCTCCCGGGGGCTCTGGGAGCTGACAGGAGAACTCACCCACAGCGCTTGGGAGATCTGGGGGACCTCCAGAAGAGGCACAGGGACAGGGGCCTGCAATCAGCACCCAGAACCCCCCAGGTCTAACTGAGCTGAGGCTGAAGAAATGGGTGTCACAGGCACATGACAGTCAACAAGGCCCAGCTCTGAATTCCAGATCACCGCTCCCCTTCTTTCCCTGTCACCCCCTTCCTTTTTTTTTTCTAAACCTCAGAAAGTTCTCCCCACTTTTTGAGCAGAGTAGTGTGGGAAATAAAACAGCACTAGGCGTGTGGTTTGGGAAGTCCCTATCAACTGCCATCCCCCTCCAGGGACAATCCTGCAGAGTCTGTCCCACAGGATCCTGTGCCAGCTCCCACTTCCCGTGTTTAGGCAGCAAACACGTTTCCAGGACACAGTATTATCTCACCGATCTCCTGCAGCAAGATCACGGCTTCATCCACAGCTTTGATGTCAGGGCTGTCCAGAGCCTTGGAGAGAAATTCAACTGCCTGCAACACAGCAGGGGAAAAAAGTGGGCAAGTTTCCCATGCAGGCATGTGGGAGAGCCCTCTGTCCTGCCCCAGGGCCCCAGACTGCAACACCGTTCCCTCTTTCTTTGCCTCCAGGGATATGAGCTCAGCCCTCTCCATTCCTTCAGTCCTCTAGACACACTCTGTAATCTAAGGGTTCTTCACATTTCCTGGTTAACATCCCCAGACAGCCCCGTGTTTAGGAAAGCAAGATCCCAAGTCACCATCCCGCTGGCTGTTCCCCACTCCTGTCCCTGGAGGTGGCTCCAGGTTCCGGCAGCCAGGGCGGTCCCGCAGCCGGGGCTGTGCTCACCGTTTTCTCTGGCATGTGGATCTTGGCCTGCACCACCAGGTTCTCCAGGGGGGTGCGCAGGATCTCTGGCACCTGGTAAGTTGGCATCTTGTCCAGGCGGCTGCGAGGGAAGAGGTGGTAGGCAAAGCCCGACTGGCAGCGGCCGGCGCGGCCCCGCCGCTGCACCACGTTCGACTTGGACACCCACACCGTCTCCAGGCAGGACACCTGCGGAGAGGAGCAGGCATGAGCGCTCCAGGGCTGCTCAGATCACAGAACCCACCCTGGTTTGGGTTGGAAGGGACCTTAAAGCCCATCCAATCCCACCCCTGCCATGGGCAGGGACACCTCCCACTAGCCCAGGTATCCCAAGACCCATCCAACCTTGGACACATCCAGGGATGGGGTAGCCACAGTTTCTCTGGGAAACCTGTGCCAGGGCCTCACCACCCTCACAGGGAACAATTTCTTCCCAATATCCCACCTAACCCTGCCCTCTGCCAGCATGCAGTGACTCCCCTTGTTCTGTCACTCCCTGTCCAAAGTCCTTCTCTTTGCATTTTTCCATCCACACACAGACTCCAGACTGACCAACGATCCCAAAGGCCCAGAGAAGCCTTTCCTACTCTGCTGCCTCCTGCGGTGCTGGTCTCTATCGGGGCATGGATGGGACCCAGATGCCACCTGCTGGACACCTGTCCTGGGTACTCATCCCAGGGTTCCCTGGGATCTCCAGTGCCAGCCCTGCCTCTGGCTCTGCATTCTGAACTGGGATAAAAACTGGGCAAATATCAAAGGGATGGATTAAAACCAGGACTTGTCCAAGACGTGAATGCCACCTGGCCCTGGGAGATGATGCTCTAGAACAGGGGCAGGGGGATGTAGCCAGAATTCCTTCTCCTAAGGGCAACAGCAGCACAGTTGTCTTCACCTCGTTAGGAAGGTGGACAGACAAGAGCCTTCACAGGGCTCAGCACTGCCAGACACGGGCCTGAGGGCAGTGAAGCCCCTCTGGAAGTTGAGAAACAAACCAAGGGATTGGGGTCAGGAGAGCTGCAAACTTGAGCAGGATCAACAGGTCAGGGCTGCCCTGCGTGGGCCGGCAAGAGGTTTTTGATGAAATCATGGAAAAAGGTAAAAAGCGAACAGAAAAGCTACAGACGTTCCGTGGTATCACAGACTTGGGAAGGGAGTGGGATTTGCCTTGAATTTCTTTGAAGACACCAGAATTTTGCCTGTGGGGAGCCTGGCACAGAGCTTGGACAAGGCAAACACTGGTGATGAGTCAAACACTGTCCCCAAACAGGGACACAGCGCCCATGCCCCAAGGGCCAAATGAGAAGCAGCTCCATCATCCCGTTAATGACACCTCAAGTGCTCCTCTGAAAACATCCCTGAGGTCCAGGGTGTCCCCAACGCCCTCAGGGGCAAGAAAGCAGCAGTACCTTGGTCTTGAGGTCGTAGCGCTCCTCCTTGTGCGTGCCACTGTCCACCACGTGCACGATGTCGTTGATGGTGATGGAGGTCTCCGCGATGTTGGTGGCCAGGACAATCTTCCTGACGCCAGGAGGAGGCCTCTGGAAGATGTTCTGCTGGTCCATCATGGGGATGTTGGAGTGCACTGGGAAATCAAACCAGAGTCAGTCCTGCCCAGCTGAGCTGGTGGGCAGAGATTCCTCTTGTACCATCCCCTCCCGCTTCCAGAAACGTGGGACAGAAACGGGAGCATCACTAATGTTCACTGCCAGCAGCTTCCTGCCAGCCAGACCCCAGGGAAGATCTTCCACACATCATTTGGGAAGGCCTCACTTCAGCTGCTTCAGCCTCTGGCTCAGCAGCAGGAGCTCTGCTCACCTCCCGTCCCTGGAATATCCCTCAAGTCCCACTCTCTCCCACAGTCCAGTTCTGCAGCTCCCCCTCCCCACAAGTCCCCCAGGGCAGGAGAACGGGGTGTCCTCCCTCCCATTTGGGCCCTCTTGGTCAGAAGTGGCTCCCAGCAAGGGCCTGTGGCTGTGCTGTGGCACAGTGGCCTGTCAGAGCTGGGTGACACAGAGGCACTGCCGGCAGCAGGAGGGTGAGCAGGAGAACAGGGGGTTCCCACAGAAGAACACCTGTGTTCATGAACAGCTGAGCTGCTCAAAGCTCTGCTCCTGCCCGGCCTTGTTCCACACTGAACAGGGAGGGTTGCTAAAAAACAAACAAAGAAGTGCCAAAACCCTTCACAGCCTTGCACAGCAAAACTGCCTTTTGTTATAAACTTCCTCCTGGGATAAGCAATGTTAAGTTCACTGATCAAAGCTGAGCTCCACAGTCCTTTTGCATCCAACAGAACAGGTCCTGAGGATCTCTTCTGTGCAGGCTCAGCAGGCAGCTACAGCAATGCAGAACTGAGCTGTTTCCCCCTGGCCTAACTCCCAATTGCTGGAGGCAAACGGGAAGCCACTTGCTTTGATCACAAAGGAGGAGTTACTCACGCTCACCACACACTCTTACACCACAGGTACATCAAAGCACACCAGCTCTGCACCAGAGAGCAAAGCTGAAGAGGCTCAGCGAGTCAACTGTCCCAGATTCTCCTGAATCCTGGGAAGAAGGGGCTGGCCCTGCCCTCTCACCTGGCAGGACGAGGTAGCGGCTGTTCTGCGAGCCCAGCATCTCCAGCAGCCGCTGCTGCACCCCTTTGATCTCCTGCCAGCCAGGGAGGAAGCAGAGGATCCCACCTGGAACACACCAACAGTTAGGAACACGCAGCCTCGAAATCCAAGCACTTTCCCCCAGCTGGAGATACAGGTTTTCAAGGCACAAAGCAACCAGGCTGCCTGTAGTTTCAGAGTGGATACCTATGAGCTTTGAAACACTTAAAGCTCTTACAAGTCATCTGAGAGTCCTGCCTTCTTCCCAAAAACATCACCTTCCAGGCAGAAATATTTAACAGGGATGGGGCTCCAATATACAAAGATAATTGTGCAGCTCAAGGCTGCAAATGCTGGAGCACAGACAAGTCCTGCTCTTCATCCCCAGGAACAGCTGCCCAGGACACTGGGGCTCAGATGTTCTTAGCCAAAGACTTGGAATTCCCTGGTGCCACACTGCTCGAGGACACTTGGGCCAACAGGAATTCAAGGAGGCCTTGCCCAAGAGGCTCAGCATCATCTGGGCTCTGTAGGTTCACTTTTATCTCCCCCAGCAGGAGAAAAGAGCCACGGGAAAGGCAGAACCCACCTGGCTCTCCGTGGGCATCGATCTGGAGCACGAGGTCGGTGATCAGGTCGAGATCCAGCACACACTCATCGTCGGATTGCTGCATGGGACAGGACACGTGGGTGAGTGAGGTAAGGCCAGCACTGAGCACACAGGCACAGCCTCCAGAGCATCTCCTGCAGTCTGCAAATGCCTGGACTTGGACAGCCTGCCCAGGACTTGGAGCCAGGAACCTCGGGAGCCTGGTTTTGGCTCCATCTGGAACCTGCTCTGGTCAAAACTGTTGCCAGTTCCCTCTGCTGTGCAGTGAGAATACACAGTCCCTGCCCAAGCTCCAGATTTGGAAGCTGAGATTTGTGCATCTCTGCTGAACAGCACCTCACAAGTGACAGAATTCACATGAGATTTCTGAGGACAAAACTGTGCCACATCCACCTGGGACTGCAAAGCCACCAGACACTGAGCAGCAGCTTTTGTATCTCCTGGTGATTTGGGACAGGCTGTCAGAGAAACTGATAAAACTCAGCTACAACTCCAGCCACATCAGAATCAGGAAGAACGCCCTGAAGGCAACGGGATACCCCAAGCTGGTTTGCTGATGATCCAGGACTGGGACAAGTGGTTCATACTCCAGACAGTTGCTCAGCCACAGGGAGGGATCTCTCCAGGCTGGAGAAACGGGCTGACAGCTTCCAGACCAGCAGGTTGGACCAGAAACTGTCTGGAGATCCCGGCCAAGCTCAGTGACTCCATGACCCACCACTGGTGTAAGATTACCCACAGCACAGAGTGCATGTCTGGAGGGCATTTTCCAAGGGAACAGTTGGACTAGTTGCAAAAAGCAGCAACCAGGGAATTCAGTCATGCAGGACATGAGCACTGAGGTAACGGTGCTGCAAGGCACAACCATGCCAGCCTTGGACAGGCTTGCAGAGAGTGTGCAAACCTTCCAGTGTGTGTCAGTGTCTATACACACACCACAACGAGCTCTCAGCCTACTCAAACGTCAAACTTCACACCAAAGGGGGACAAAAGTAACTTGACCCCAAACTGTAGTCATCTTTACCCATTATTTAACCAAAGTACTCTGTGATTCCACTAAGCTGACTCCACCTCACGAGAGCTGGTGTGGAATCAAAGCTAAGCAAACAGTGTCCAGGAACCAGAGGGAAGCGGGACCAGTTCCAGGCCCAAACTCTCCTGTGACAACACACCAAAGTCAGTGCCCCCTCTCAGGGCGACACCTGCACACCCACCTTGATCTCGTAGTGCCGGTGTCGGTGCCGGCCCAGCTTGGCCAGGATCTCCTCCAGGTAGTATTCCTTCACGGGGTACATGAAGCCCGGCACCTTGACCACAGGGCAGTCCCCAAAGTAGTGGGAGAAGCGCTGGTTGTCCCCCGTGGCGCTCATGAGGACCAGGCGCAGGTCGGGGTTCAGCTTCTGGATGCCTTTGAGCAGGATGAGCAGGAAGTCGGTGTTGACGTCTCGCTCGTGCACCTCGTCCACCACGACGTGGCTGACGCCCTCCAGGCTGGGGTTGCCCTGCAGCTTCCTGAGCAGGATGCCCACAGTGCAGAAGAGCAGGGCCCCTCCCCGGGCGGGGGGTTTGCTCTCCAGCCGCACCTGGTAGCCCACGTTCTTCCTCATGTTGGGCCCCAGCTCCTGTGCCACGCGCTGGGCCACGGAGATGGCGCTGATCCTGCGGGGCTGGGTGATCACCACGTTGCAGCGGGCGCCGCGGCCCTCCAGGATGTAGTGTTCCAGCAGCAGCTGCGGGATCCGCGTGGTCTTCCCGCAGCCCGTGTCTCCCGCTATTACCACCACGGGGTTCTGCTCGATGGCTGACAGGATGGTGTCCTTGTGGGGGTCTACTGGCAGTGGGTGGCTCTCCTGCCAGGAGGCTCCTCTCCTTTTCCAGAGGGCCAGGAGGTTCTGGCTAAGGCGCACTTCCTCTGCCTCCAGCATGGGGATGTAGGTCTTCCCCGTGATGGCGTCGCTTATCGCACCAGATTCCTTGGTCAGGTTCATCATGTCATCGGCAATCCGGGGCCGGGACTCCCTGATGTCCACGGGATACTGGCAGAGAGGGAGGAAGTTGGCAAGGACAGAAAGGTTAGTACCGGTCCTGGGACAGACAGAATGAAACAAGTGTCTGGAACAGGCTCAGCCAGCCTGGCTTTGCCATGACTGTGAAGCTTTGCCACGACCACAAAGCTCTGCCATGACCACAAAGCTCTGCCAAGGTCTCCTCAGGTTTTTGCTGACTCGGTCACTTATGTTCTGAACTGAGGATATTTAAGGTGAGAATTAACGTGGGCAGCTCCCTGTGCTCTCCTTGCTGCGCTCCCTATTTTAGGAGGGGTGTTAGTGCTGATGCCTGAACTGACAAGGCACAAACCAGTTACTTAAGCTCTCCAATGCAACAGCCCCTCCAAGACAACTTTTGGAAACTATCACATTACACCACCACCCTTCTCTCCCTCAGGAAGCCCAGACACATAACTCACATAAAACACAAGTGTTTTTGCCTGAGCCAGAAATATTCTGTCTTGGCAAAAGAAAAAACGGAAGTCCCACATCCCACAGGACGAACTAAAAGGAGCAACAACAGGTCAGGATTTGTCTAGAACACAAATCAAGGCATTGGCCCAGATGTTCACAGGATTAAAAGCTGCCAAACTTTTAATCAATCAGAACTTTTCGGATTCAGCCTTGGAGGCACGAGGGGAAGGCCCACTGCCCAAAAAGGGTCTCCCTTCTCCAAAGGGGCAGCAGAGACCGGTCAGGTTTCCTGGCAATGATCAAGCCATGAATTCCCTCAACGTTTTGCCATGAAGCTTTCAAAGACACACAATTCCTGTGGGCAGATGGGACCAGGCAAAGGCGCTCACGTGGTTCAGGTAGTTCTCGATCTTGCGCAGGGTGGCCTCGGGGACTTTGATGTGGCAGGGTTTCCTCTGGTTCTCCCCCAGCTCCCGCAGGGAAGTCATGTTGTACATGGCATGGCTCAGGGGGTTGTTGTTCTTGTCCACCAAGCCAAGGCTCTGCAAAAGGAACAGGCAAACAACACTGTCAGCCACGAGACTGCTCACACCAAGTGCTGGGATATAGAGTACATGGATCCCTCACATGGGGACAGGCCAATTCCTTGCCATCCCAAATCCATCACTTCCTGGTTTTCTTGCCAGAGCAAGAAACAAGACATGATCTCACCTCAGCTCTGGAGAAAAAGACACACCAGAGCCAACTATGTGCCCCCAACACAACACTCACAAGTAGATCTCAAACAGACCCTTTGAAGGACCAGCAGCCACAACCTGACAAAACCCTCTTGTTAACTCCCTTGCTATGGTTCTGGAATGTTGTGAATCCCAAGGATTGGAAATACATGTTTATTAGGAATTAGTTCATTAACCATTAAGTCAAAGGTCAGAAAGCTCCAGGCATCCCCCCATCAGGCTCAAATACAGTGAGTGAGGAGGAAGGAATACAGGAGGGAGCCTGTACCCACAGACAGCTCTAGGGATGCAGGAGCCAGGGGCACTCGCTCACCTTCAGCTTCTGACAGGCCAGAGCTGCTGCTTTGTTTTCTGCCTCCACCTTGCGCCGGCCCTTGGCAGCGAAGGTCATGGGGCAGGGCCAGCGCAGTGTCAGCTTGCAGATCTTGGTCTTGGTGCCCACCGTGCGGAACTGCATGTACTCCTGGAGACACAGACACCAGCCATGGGGCACCCTTGGCCGGGAGGGACCCCAGGGATCACCCAGTCCCACCCCTGGCCCTGCACAGACACCCCAACAATCCCTCCCATCCCTCAGAGCATTGTCCAAACCCTCCTGCAGCTCTGGCAGCCTTGGGGCTGTGCCCACTGCCCTGGGGAGCCTGGGCAGTGCCCAACCACCCTCTGGGGGAAGGACCTTTTGCTGAGATCCAACCTGACCCTGCCCTGGCACAGCTCCAGCCCTTCCCTGGGTGCTGTCCCTGGTCAGACAGCAGAGATTGGAGCTGCCCCTCGGGAGAAGCTGCACACCCTGATGAGTCTCCTCTCAGTCTCCTCTGCTCCAGCTGAAGGAGCCAAGTGCCCTCAGCCACTTCTGGTATGGCCCCTCTAGACCCTTCACCACAGGGGATTTCTGGTGGGGTTTGTTTGGGTTTTTATTAATTTAACAGAGCACTAGAACTTTACTGCCCTGAATTCCCCCTCAGCTCCCAAGGCACTGGCTAAGCAGGAGTGAGAGCAGGCAGCTGTGTGGGGAACATCCCTGGTGTGTGGGGAACGTCCCCAAGAGCCTCTGGGGTGGAGCACAGTTCCTGTTTGCTAAACACATGAGCTCTGGGCAGGAGGTGGGTGACACTGAGGGGGAGGATCCCTGAATACTGGAAAGATTCCATCAGCACAGAAATCACACATCACTCCCAGCAACACAAACTTGTGCTTGTTGGAGATACAGGGGGAAATGAAACCTTAGGAAATGACCTCCTTCATTCAGACAGCAGCTCCTCCACTGCCCTGGCCTCAAGGAACAACATTCCACACGGTTCTATGAAGACATTCTCTCAATTCTCACCACAAAGTCTTTTCCTTGCTCTTCAGACTGATTTTTCTAGGCCTAGTTCTAACTTGCTTCCCCTCCCCAGTTCTGCTGCCCAAACAAAGCATCCAGTGATTCCAGAGGGAGCCTCTGAGCTTCATCCCTGGCAGTGGTCAGACAGCAGCTTACCTTGACTGTGGAGGAAGAGGTTGCAATCTGAATCACTTGCGCCAGGAGGTTTTTGGGCAGTGGGAACTGTGTCAGGGCACGGATGGCAGTGTTGTCGTCGGTCATCTCAATGGAACTCCCTCCTCGGCTGCAGGGGAGACGAGAACAGGTGATGTACAAATGTGTGCTCACACCCACCTCACTCCAGCAGCTGCTGAGCTCTCAAATAGGTGGGTAAAGCACAGATAACTCTGGTTGTGGCAGAGTCAAGCTGTCCCTTGCTGTTCAAATCTGTCAGTCGTAGAACAACCACCCAGCCCAGCAAAGCCACCCACTCCAAACCTTCACACTGAGGCTACAAACCAGGTAGCATCGACAGCTTGTAACAGACTTCACAAATAAATAACTCCCAATCCAAAGAGCATCCCTAGAAATAACCACCACCACTGTGGCCTTACAGATCTTGCTCCTGTTGCCTATTAAATACCCAAGATTTGTGCTCATAAAACAGGAAGTCAAACAAGCAACTATGGTGATGAAAAGCAGTAGATTTAATGTTGCCCTCAGGGTGATCAAAACCAGGTCTAAGCCCACATAGATCATTTCTGGGAATGGAAATCTCTTTAGGCACAGAAGAGTAAGGCAGGTAACAAGCCTGGCAGTCTCTCCAAAGGGAGAGCTCCAGGGAAGAAGCCTGTGCATTCCCTGGATGGCAGCCAGGTTGCCCAGTATTGCTTTGGCCCATCTACAGGCTCCACCAGCTGCAGCTCAGCTGTGAGGAACTGCAGGGAAAACCCTCGCTCCCCGTGCCCTGGATGAGCAGCTCCCGGGACAGACCCACCTGGCATCCCTGCCCGGGGTCCGGGCGTCCTGGTGTGCCATGGGCAGGTAATCCGAGACATCGATCGCTTCCTCCTCCAGCTCCCCCTCCTCCAGCTCCCCTTCCTCCAGCTCCCCCTCCTCCAGCTCTTCCCTCCTCATGGCTTTAGGCATCCTGCCCTGCTCCATGGGCTGGATGGAGTCGTCGGGCTCCATCCTCCGCCAGCAGGTGGACAGGTCTGCGAGGGAGGGCCCGGACTTGGAGCGCCACTTGCCCTCGGAGCACCAGCGCTCGTCGGGACAGCCCAGCTGGTCCGCCAGGAGCCGGTACTTGGCGGCGTCAAACAGCTCGTTCCGGGGGCCCAGCAACCCCCAGCCCTGTGGGAGAGACACACAGAGTGATTCCTGCATTCCCCACCGAGAAACAGAGGAACAGAAGGGACGTTCAGGGACTTTAAACTTCCCCCTGCCACTGTTTATTACCAAAGGGAACCTGGTCCCTGCCCTCCCTTCCCAAGGCACGGCTCTGAGCCCCACACAGCTCCTTAGGGTGGGCCAGGATTTACTGGGACTTTACAAACTCAGCCCTATCGAGCATCCTCAAGTTTTGAAACCACTCCCAGCGTAACTTAAAAGTAACAGTAAAGCAGAACATGTAACTGCCACACTGTGGTTTCGATGAAGAGGGAATAGGAGGATCTGAAGCTCCTGCGACTGCAGACACACCCAGGCGGGCTGGCAGAGATGAGCCCTAGTGAACAGCAAGAGCAAACACACCTGAGGGAAGCTCTACTCACTGTAGATGCTGACACTAAGGAGCTGACTGAGGTCCAGGACACAAGGAACAAGGAGCGGGACTCCAAGGGCTTAGTGAGTTCATGCCTGGCTGACGCAAGTGGCATTTTAAGCTCAAATGGATTCAGACTCAACACTTCACTCTCCACCCCTGACTAACAGGACAACTGAGAGAGTGAACAGGCAAAGAGAGAGAAAAAGATTCCCATCCCCAAAGGCCAGGCCTGCACCCCCCAGGGACCGTGCCCCCAGCTTACCTTGAAGAGCTGACAGGCCGCAGCGGCTGCCTGCCGCTCCGCGTCGATCTTCTTGGTCCCATAGCCCTCCACCTCCACGTTCTTGGGCCACTTGATGTGCAGAGTGACTTTCTGAAAAGCAGAGACAGCCAGCAAAGTGAGTCAGCACAGCCTGAGCTCTCCCCTGCCCCAGGAGCACACCCACTGCAGCCACTTCTCAACTCTGGGCAAAAAAACCAGTGGACAAAGCGCCTGCGTGGTGCCTTCGTGGGAAGTGCCGTTCCAGGAGCACTGAAGGAAAAGCCTGAGCAGGGCACAGAGGTGCCACAGTCCCACAGGAGTGCAGGGCTGAGCCAGGCTGAGTCCAGCCAGGCTGCAGTGTCACAGCGTGTCAGCTCCAAGGAATAAATGCCAGGAGCTCATTCCAGGAGCAATTCCATTTCAGGGACCATTCTCTGCTCACTGCAGCACACCACACTGTGCCCCAGAGCAACATGCCCTCTCCAACAGGATTCCGGCAAGGAAATCTCCATAACTGCTTCCTTATGGCAATGCAACCAGCAGCAGGTTGCCTCAGCTCCCCAGACAGCTCCTTCAGGCACAGGAGGATCCACCTCCAGCCCAACACAAGCACTGGGAGAACCACAGCCCTCCCAAAACTCCCCCTGGATGGGAGCATCCTCTAAATGGGAGCTAAAAACCTGCAGAGGCAAAGAATGCTGAAAGCTGAACCCTGCCATCATCAAAAAATTGCTTCAAATCATCAGCTCCCAGCCCTGCAGATGCTGGAAGGCTCCAGGAGGGAAATGCTTAAGGAATTCTCTCCTGTCTCTGCAGCACAGATGAAAGGTGGCATTTAGATCCGCTGGGAAAACCCCACCTCCAAGGCTGGAGCAAAGGCTCCTGCCTTCCCAGCAGCCTGCCCTGGCTGGCTGCCCACCTGCCAGCGGAACCTCAGCTCTCGGGAGGAAATTCCGACGGGATTTTGCCTCGGGGCTCTGCGGGGCTCTGCGTGGAAAAGCAGGGAAAAAAGGTGTCTCCTGAAGGTCAAGTCACTCAGTGCTCACAAAAACCCCTGGGTCACTTCCAACCAGGAGCTCTCCGGGTTGTCCCACCTGTCCTTGTCCCACACACTTCCTGGGTTGGTTTTTGTTGGGTTGGTTTTGGGGTTTTTTTTTGTGATCCAACCCTCGTTTTCTCCAGAAGCTCCTGGTTTAGCTTTTTGTTTTAATCTGAAGTTATCCCCAACATTAATCTATTGAAGTGCCAGCAAGAATGTGAACTGATTACACAAACTAAAACTATGAGGCATTGGCTGTGGTATTCCAAAACTTAAGTTAGGAAACTGCAGTGGAAAAGCAAGAAAAACAAACACAAATCATGAAGAACTCTGAAGTAACCATTACTAATGTATCCCTAAAACTCAGGGATGCTTTAAAAGGATGTGGCAATAAAAACTGTCTGGGAAATTTCAGACAGAATGTTATTGGAAAATGTTAATCCGTCAGAACGGAGTCTTTTCCTGGAATGTAGGTTCCAGTTAAACTTGAGCTGGAAAGGGCTCTCAGCTCTGGAATGAGCTGTGCTGTGACAGCAGGAGGCAGAGCCCTGCCCAGGGAGCACCCGGGAGGTGTGTCCTGCAATCTGGGCCTCTCACAGCCCAGGGACAGCTCAAACCACCTGGAAAACTCTTTGCTTGGAATTCCTCACAAAAAAAAAAAAAGAGTCTGTATTTTGTTTTGCCCCTAAGTACCATGAGAAACCTCCCTCATCGCACACAAATTCTTCTCTTCTGGTTGCAGTTGGATGTTTCAGGCTGTGCCATTTGTTCTACTGGAATCTACAACCAAATCTAGGCCTACTGAGGCTCAAAATACAGCCTTTAAATTTTAATTTTCTAAGGTAGTAGGGCACCTTGGAGCACATTTCAGCACTGAGTACGTGTCTTTCTGCTGGGAAAAGCCAGATACAGCAAGTTACCCGAAAGAAAAATATCCATCCTTCCACACACAGAAAGAGGGACAGCACCTGCATTTATACACCTGTTAAAGCACGTGAAAATTAGGAGAGACAGGAGGAATTGGGAATATTTCTTGTTTAAAAGATTACAACCCAACTTTTACGTGGAATCGAAACACTCCTCTGATTTTCTCTAGGAAAGTTCCTCCCAGGATTACAGGTTTTTGGCTCCCTTCCCACTCCTGTCCCTCACATCTCCAGCCCCACGGGATTACCTTTTTCCTTGGCCCATTAGTGTGGATGTAGACCAGCTTGTCCCTTGCATGGGAAATGCCCAGGGCTCGTCCAATCACACTGTTGAGCAAGTTTTTAGGCTGTGGAAATTCCTTTAATAAGTCTCTGGAATCTGGAAAAAAAAAACCAAAGAGGAACTAAATGTCTTACAGTTCCTGTGCAGTCCTGTCCAAAGACATGTTCCAACACCTGCTCCGTGCAGCTCTGGGAGCATCTGTGTCTCAGGGTTACCGAGAGGGAAGTAAGGAGAGTTCAGTGCCTCACCCACAGCAACTCCAGGCATCAGCAAGATCATGGAACCATCCAGGTTGGAAAAGCCCCCCAAGGTCACAGAGCCCACCCTGTGCCCCATGCCCACCTTGTCCCCAGCCCAGAGCACTGAGTGCCACAGCCAGGCCTTCCTGGGACACCTCCAGGGCTGGGCACTCCAAACCTCCCTGGGCAGCCCCTGCCAAGGCCTGACCACCCTTTCCAGGGAGAAATTCCAGCTGATGTCCAGCCTGACCCTCCCCTGGCACAGCTTGAGGCCGTTCCCTCTCCTCCTGTCCCTTGTTCCCTGGCAGCAGAGCCCGACCCCCCCAGCTCCCCCCTCCTGTCAGGGGGTTGCAGAGCCAGAAGGTCCCCCCTGAGCCTCCTTTGCTCCAGGCTGAGCCCCCCCAGCTCCCTCAGCCCCTTCCCAGCTCCCTTCCCTTCCCTGGACACGCTCCAGCCCCTCCATGTCTTGTCCTGAGGTGCCCAGAACTGCCCCCAGGATGGGAGGTGCCCTGTGTCACCCCAGGGCTGGTACAAACCAGGGGCCATTGGCCTCCTGCCCCCCTGGGCACTCCTGGCTCGTGTCCAGCCTCTGTCACCAGCAGGGATTTGGTGCCACTTCCCCACTGTGGAGGCAAAAGCAGCTCAATATCACCCCTCAGTACCAAAACCCAACTGAGCAATAACTACTCTGAACAGTTCTGGGTTGCACAGCCCCCCAGCCATGGATTAAATCAAGGGGCTCACAAGGAACACATCAGAGCCAGTCAGTGGCAGCAATGGGAAATAAGCCCCTTCTCCCAGGTTCCAGCACTCCCACTAACCCAGACAAGCAGATCCACAGCCCTAATCCAACAGAAAGCCAAGGCAGAAAAATGGAACACATGGGATTTGCTGGGCTCAGGAGTAAATCAGCCACTACAGCCCTGCAGGTACCCAAATCCAGCACAAGGGAACAGGGAGAGGGATGGGATCTCATCCCACACACGCTCTCCCCAGGCTGTCAGGACCCTGTTACCCACCCTGCAGACACCCCTGGGTGTGAGCACTCCCTCTAAGGAGGTTTCTAAATCCTCTGCAGGAATTCAGGGCAGGTTTCTGCAATGAATCAGAAGCCACACAATCACTGGTACCAGCAGCAACTGGAATTTCTGACTGAGCCACCAAATCCAAGGAGAATCAAGCCAACAGTCACACTCATTGGAGCATCACCAAGATGTGCCACCATGTTCTGCTGGAAACTCTGATTCCAGAGTTGCTGTAATGAAGACAAACAGTAACTCCAGGTGATAAGAGAATCATGGAATGGTTTGGGATGGAAGGGACCTTAAAGCTCATCTCCTTCCAGCCCCTGCCATGGACAGGGACACCTTCCACTAGCCCAGGTTGCTCCAAGCCCTGTCCAACCTGGCCTTGGACACTTCCAGAGATGTTCAAGGAAAGAGAAAAGCTCTGCAGGCCTGACACATGACATCCTGTGGATGCTTGGCTAAGGGAGAGGGAAAAGCCATATTGCTGATCCCATCACCCTCTCCAGAAAAAACCCAGCAGGCTGACCCACAGTTCAGCACAAAGTAATTACTGGGGACACCCAGCTTTGAAACTTCTTCCTGCAAATCACAGAAGAATCACCTGGGTCTCAGAGAAACACTTTCAGAAGCCTTGGAGAACTCCAGGGGAATTGCAGGAATTACTGTGATTTATCACCACCACCTGTCCATGAATTACCTCCTGTATATTGGTCAAGAGAGCAGGAAAGTGGTCTCAGCCCCACAAAGAACCACGAGCCAGTTTCCTGTAACTGTACAGCAAATGTGCTGCTTCTACCCACTCAGGCAACTTCCACCACATTCACACTTTGGCCTGGTCAGGAAAACTGGCCAAGTGTCCAAGACTTTGGCACTCTGCAGTTCCATCCCATTCCACACTGGTGGGATGCGGGCAGGGAGGGGCAGTAACACAATTCCCAAATGCACCGTTAAATTCACTGCATAAAAAAGAAAAGCTGAAAAGCAAACTTCCAGGACCAGCCTGGATTATTTGGCCTCCAGTTGTTTCCTCTTTCAAAAACAATAACCTGGGAAATTCTGGGACAAGAAGTGCAAGGAGCACACTTTTAATGCCCCTCCAAAATGCAACTATTTACGACAGAGCCAATTCCTCACCCTCTGAGGTGACTCCTTGGTGAAGACTAAATATTTAATCTGTTCTGGAGCGAAAAATAGGATCTGTGAGTGACAGAGCCCAGCTCTGGCCGGTGGCTCAGGCTCAGAATTCCCAAGGAGGCACAGTGTTTGCTTCCCAGCTGACAATGGCACATTCAGCAGCACCATCTGACGCACCAGGGGCCGATGGATCCCCCTCATGTCCCCAATTCCCGAGCTCAAGGAGCTCATCCTGCAGGAAGCCATCCCTCACTTGCAGCTTTTAAAGAAACAACCCCAAATTGCAGGACTGGATTTGCAGAGTGTTGCCTTCCCTGCCAAATTGGATTTCTTGGCATCTCCCTGCGAGGAGCGTCTCAGCTCTGTCACAGCTGGGAATGGGTGTTTGGGTGGGAATGCTGTGAGTGGGAGCACAGGGAGTGGAGCCCAATGCTCCCAAAACTCAGCTGATTTTCGTGCCCAACTCCACATATGATACCCAAACCATGGCTCAGAGATCATGCAGGAATACTAAAACCCTGCCTTGGAGAGAGACAAGTCAGGGTGGGGCTATCAAAGAAGCCAATTAACTAATTAAAGTTCCTCAAAGCCAGTGAGTGCTTCGCTTAATTTGATTGTGAAAGTCCAGGATAATTGCAAGCAACACCAAAACCACCAAAAACCAGGCCCCAAACCCACCAAACCACCCAGCTGGAGCGGCCAACCCTCCTACAAACCCCAACAGATCTGAGGAGTGAAGACACTCAGGGACAAGAGCATAAATAAACCAGCCCAAAGTCTTGCTCAAGGAGAACAGAGGAGGAGCATTAGGTCCATTTAGTTTCCCTCTTCCCTCCAATTCTCTTCCCAGGAAAAGCAACAAATGAGCAGCGAGGACAAACTATTAAAGACAAAACTCCCCAAGATACAACAAATTCAAGTAATGAATCCAAGTCAGTGAAGGGTGTTTGTAACACACCAAAAATCCCCAGGGAAGAGGAAGAAAGCCCTGTGGCTCCATAATATCCATTTCATCAGGAATTAGCCCAGACATGTCCTGCTGGAGGCAGAGAAGGTCCCACCTGGCTTGGTTTGGAGCACACCAAAACTCTGCTTTTTTGGGATTTGGGGGGTTCAAACCATCAGCAGCGATCCCAACCATGGCTCCTTCCAACACACACAGAACAAAGACCCACAGGAAACTCCCGCCTGAACAAGAACTTAAAAACTGGGAAAACAGAGCAGGCTTCTCGTGGGATGAGCCGAGGAGGAGGAGCAGTGGCCAACCTGCCCTGGAGACACTCGGACAGGCGGGACCAGCCCGGCCTGGGAGGGGGTCAGAGCCCCAGTGCAGCCCCAACCCCGCTGTGGCACCACAGCCCAGCACATTCCACCAGCTCCGAGGGGGATCCCAGAGCAAACCAGGGCTCAGGATCACCTCAGCCTCGGGAACAAGAGCCAAGTGCCACAGCCCTGGCTGAGCTCCCAAAACCCCACTGCCTGAGCCAAAGAAGTGAAGCCTCAGATGTTAACAGGGATCTAACACCGGCTTTTCCAGGCTGGCCGGGGTTCAGAGCTGATTTTCCCGTATCTGTATCCAAGGCTCATAACAAAGGGCTCAGAACTGACCTCTGAAAGAGGGCTGCAAAATAACATTTCTAATCTGCACCCGTTCAAGCAGCAGCTGTGCAGGTAGGGCAGGCTCAGCAGACCCTGAGGGAGTTCACCTGCTCATCCAATAAATCCAGTCGGAAACAATTCCAATATCACCAAACTCCCACCAAAAGAGCTTTCTGTGGTCAATCCACCACACAAACTGGAAGGGTGAACCAAAGACCAGAAATAAAAGTACTTGAGGACTCACAAAAAACACACCTCAGAAAGAGGTGCTGAGGAATGAAGTATAAAAGAGGAAAGAAAAAAACAAATCCTGGTTTATTACTTTTCTCAGGCAACACCTGAACCAGCTCATTAAACAATAATTTGGGGTGGTTTGCATTTGCTTTAGCAGGGAGTTAATTTGCTCTGTTGAACAGCTTGAATGCAACAATTAAAAGCCCATCTGACTCTGAACTCCAAGATAAAGCTCAGCAGCTTCTGAAAGGCAAATGGAACCCAAAGAATCCAGAAACTACTGAGAGCAAATAATAATAACAATAAAAAAAAAAAAGTGCTGGAGGGTGGGAAAGGAGCACCAAACACAGAAGGATGAGGGGCAGGAAAAAAAGAAAAAGTTTTATGTAATAATGACCCAAATTTCCAAAGCGGGAGATCGCACAGTATGAAAGAAAACCGAAACCAAACCGGCGACTTACAAAGGGAAAATGCCGTGGTTCAACCTCCGGCACAAAACCACTCGCATCTTTCTAAACTCCAGGTGTTCTCCACGTTCCACAACCCAACAAAAAGCGCTTCAAAACGCGACATCAAAACACAGCTCTGAACGATCCTTTAAAACGGCAGCGATTCCGAGCCCCGGGATTTCCCCTTCCCACCTGCGCCCCGCGCACCACCGACATCCCGACGGGAAAAGCCTCCCGAGCGCTGCCCAGAGCCATCCCCCCCGGCGGGGTTTCGGGACGCGGCGGTGCCAGGGGCCGAGGTTGCCGAGCCGCCCGTGTGTCCGTGGGCTGTGCAGGTGGATCCCGCCGGGATCCCGGCGGGAGGCGCGGAACGGCCCCAACGGCGCGGGCCGAGCGCTCCTCGAGCCATCCCCCTTCCCACCCAACCTCCGTGCGGGATCTTCCTCCCGCGTCAGCGCCGGGAGGCGGCCGGAGGTTCGCCCAGGCCCCGGCTCGGCGACCTTGAGGGGAATCACCGGGGAAAGCCAACAAAGGGCTCCCGGGGTGGCCACAAAGGCGCTCCCCGAGACCCCGCGGAGACCCCCCGCTACCTGCGCAGCTCGGCGGCTCCTCGCCCTGGCCGCGCATCCCGGTGCCGGCGGAGCGGCGGGAAGGCAGGGAAGGGAGGGATGGGGGAAGGAGGGAGGGAGGGATGTGGCGGCTCCCCCCGCCCAGCCGCGGGCCCGGGCTCGCCCCTCCCTTCCGCTGCGTGAGGGCCGCGCGGGGCGCGAGCGCCGGCCGGTGCCGCCGCCGCCGCCGCTCACCCTGCGCCGCGTCGGGCTCCTCCTCGTCCTCCTCGTCGCGGCGGGGCTCGGCGGGGCCGTTGGGCGCGGAGCAGAGCGCGCGGGGGGCCGCGCAGAGCCCGCGGGGCGGGCGGCACAGGCGGAGCGGCCCCGCCGCCTGCAGCAGCAGCCCCAGCGCCGCCATCTTGGGCTCGCCGGCGACCCCGGCCAGGGGAGGGGCGCCCCGCCGCAGCGCCCCCTGGCGGGCCGGAGGACCGAGAGCGGCTGAGGGAGCCGGGGCGGGGAAGAGGCCTCGCGTCCCGCAGGGAATGGCGAGGGAAGGGAGGGAGGGGGAAAAGGACACGGGGAAAGCAGGAGGAGAGGGAAAAGGAGGGGAGAAAGAGGGGAAAAGGGGGAGAAGGAAAGGGAAAAGAAGGGGGGGGAAGGAGGGGGAAAAGGAGAGGTAGAAGGAGGTGAGGGAGAGGAAAAAGAAGGAGAGGGAGGAGATGAGGGGGAGGAAGAGGAGAGGGAGAAGGAGGGGGGAAAGGAGGAGAAAGAGGGGGAAAGGAGAGAGAGAAGGAGGGGGAAGAAGAGAGGGAGAGGGAAAAGAAGGAGGAGAGGAGAAAAGGAGGAGAAAAGGAGGAGAAGGAGAGGGAGAAAAGGAGGGGGAGGAAAATGAGAAGAAGGAAAGGTAAAGGGGGGGGGGAAAGGAGAAGGGGAGAAGGAGGAGAAGGAGAGAGGAGAAGGAGAGAGGAGAAGGAGAGAGAGATGGAAAAGAATTGAGAGGGAGGAGAAGGAGAGAGAGAGAGAGAGGCAGAAGGAGCTGCTGTCCTGCCGTGCCAGGACACGGGAAGGTCGCACAACATTCCCGGGGCTCCTGTGCCAGCACAGCCCCGCGGGAGCGCTGGGACCTTCCCGGGAATTGCCCCGGCCGGGGCTCGGAACCAGCACCTTCCCCTGCCCTGGGACAGGGAACACAACATCCCCCCATTCCCTGCTCTCAGCACCTGCCTGGGACAGGGAACACAACATCCCCCCATTCCCTGCTCCCAGCACCTGCCCAAGGACAGGGAACACAACATCCCCCCATTCCCAGCTCCCAGCACCTGCCCAAGGACAGGGAACATCCCCCCATTCCCAGCTCCTGCCCTGGGACAGGGGACACCCCCCCATTCCCT